GTTAATTTTTTCTTAAATGGCGACTAAAAATTAAAATTCTAAATTAATATATAAATCTAATTTTTCATTGGTCGAAATATTATTTTTGCTTATGTGGCGTGCGATGCACGAATTTTTATATACATTTTGTATATAAATATTTTTTTTGGTTATCTCTTAATTTTTTTCTTGCATTATAAATTTTAAAATTTTGTATGAAAGTATCATATCATCAAATATTTATATAAAACCATTAACATCAAATGATAATTTATATTTTTTTAAATATCAAAATATAATGTTTAGTTTTTTAAATAATATAAATCCTAATATCTAAAGATAATTTTTAGTTTTGTAACAAATAAAAATGATAAAATTTAGTGTTCTTAAATAATTAAAATCCTAATAAATTACTATTCGTCGTTTTTACCTACGTGGCAAAAATTTAAAATTTCATTCGTCACTTTTGTTTAGGCGGCGAGTGATTTTTTTAATTCTAAAATAAAATAGAAATCTAATTTTTAATTGGTCGAAAATATACCTTTTCTTATGTGGCGCTCCCAATGCTCTCCAAAAATACCTACTAAAATAAAATAGAAATCTAATTTTTAATTGGTCGAAAATATACCTTTTCTTATGTGGCGCTCCCAATACTCTCCAAAAATGCCTACTTTATTTATGTATATTAGATTAACTTCCTAAAATTTTTTATCATATACATGTATTTTTATATAAAAAAAATACGTAGTATTGATAAAGTAATTTTATTTTAATGAAGCAAAATTATCATAATCATATACTTCTTATGTTTATCGTACATAAGGTAGTTTTATTTTAGTATAGCAAATTTACGTTCATACTTATTATTATGTTTATCATAAATAAGGTAATTTAATTTTAATTTTTTACTTCGAATTTTTTATTTGTCTAAATATTTTATAATGTAATTCAATTTTAGTTTTTTACTAATAATTTATTATTGGTTGAAATATTTTATAAAAATATTTTATCCGTCTAATTATCTTAGGTGGAAAATGAATTATTTAATTCAAAATTAAAATATATTTCTAATTTTTGATTGGTCGAAATAATACTTTTATAAGGTAATTTAATTTTAGCTTTTTACTTCTAATTTTTTATTTGTCGAAATATTTTACAAGGTAATTCAATTTTAGTTTTTTACTACTAATTTTTAATTGGTCAAAATATTTTATAAAAATATCTTATTTGTCTTATTATCTTAGGTGGAAAATGAATAATTTAATTCAAAATTAAAATAGATTTCTAATTTTTGATTGGTCGAAATAATACTTTTTTTTTAATGTGGCACTCTCAATGCTCCCGAAAAATGCCTACTGTTTTTTTTTTAAATAATTTTTTTTTTGTATTAATGTGCTAAAATTTGTTATATTTTAGATAAAATTCTTAATATTAAAAAATAATATATAATATATGATTAATTTAAACTTTAAAATTTTTTTTGCCAATTTTGCCTATGTGGCATTTGCATTATTCAATTCTAAAAGAAAATTATTTAATTGGCTACAACAAATATTTATAATCGTACATGGAGCGCTAAGAAAATTAAATCTTACGTGGCTCTCTAAAAACTCGGGAAAAAACTCCCCTTTATATATATACACTAGGTTAAGTCCCGTGCCATGCATGGTCATAATTAAATTTTGTAACAAATAAGTAATAAATAATGGTGTTAATTCAACGATAATTTATCCAAAAAATTATTTGTAACAAAATAACTTGAATTTTAATTAGTTTATACCAATACTAAATACGTAAAGGTTATTGAATTGGATTATATATATAAATAAATAAAGTTATAGAAACTTAGAAGCTATAAGGTTTTATATAAGAAAAGTAAAATATTAGCTTAGGTTAGTACCCATATATGAACTCATATACATTTTTCCTTAAATTGTTGACACACTTTGATCGACATAATATAAAGTTTAGTTGAGTTCATTTTACTTTAGGATAATTTGTATTCAATAACCAACTTTTTAAATCCATCTTTAGTTATAGTCACATAAATGTTTAGAATAATTAATTAATTTTTCAATATATGTTGTATATGAAGTATACTATAACAAACTTATTTTACATGTTACGTATAATTTTAAGATTAAATGATTGATACAAAGTATGCTACCAAAATGATATTTCTTTTCTAATTCAAATAAATTTTATTATCAAATTATAAAAGTTAGAGAAAAAAATTGATATTGATAATATTATAATAATTTTGGAAAAGAATATATTCCAATAAATTATTTTTAATCTATGTTAGTATTTTTGTAACTAAAAGTTTCCAAGTATATAGAATATATGTAAAATATTTAATTGAATATAATTGGATTAAATATATTATAAAAAAAAACTAAGAAGGAAAGGAAAAAAAAGGCGGAAAAATTGTTAATCAGGAAATGACAAGTGTCATTTCTGATTTCGCCTTTAGTAAGGTTTATTGATTGATTAGATTGCCTACGAGGCTACGACTAGATGTATATGATAAGTCTATAATTAAGGTTATGATAATATATGATCTTTGATAATTTAAGTTAATTACGGAGTAATGACTTACCATAAATAAGGTGAATATAATTTATCTACCTTTTATTTATAATTATAATTTTAGTATATTTCAACATATAGTTACATACTTACATATATACTTTACATATTACAATTAGAATATACTTATTAGAATATATGAAAATATATTTTGATCTTGTAAATATAATATGAGATTACTTCGTTAAAATGTACCTGTTAGAGTATATGAGAATATTAATTGTATATATTTTAATCTTACATGACTAATTAGCTAAATTTAAGGTATTAGAGCAAATTTATACACTTACACAAAGTTTCATATACGGCTGTGCGGCCAACCATATATATATATATATATATATATATTATTTTTTCTTCTCTCTCTTCTTTCTCTCTCCTCTTTTCTTCTTCCATCTTCTACAACATTTTTCTTTTTCCCCCAAATTTATTTCTCTCTCCTATCTTCTTCTTCCATCTTCTACAACATTTTCCTTTTCCCCCCAATTTTATTCCTCTCTCCTCTTTTTTCTTTAAACTTCATTAATGGTGTCATCTTCTTAGCCCAAATTTCTTCAAACTTCATTAATGGTTTACTTTTGGAAATTTATGTTCTACGAATTTTATGTTGAATTCAAGCTTATTTGCTGAAAATTTTGATTATATAACTTGTAAGATGTTAAATTTTATTACTTAATTTTTTGTTTAATTGAAGAACGAAAAATAAATTGTTTTCGTGTATAGTGGTGGTTTCGTGGGTGGGTAGTGGTGGTTTCATGGATGGGGTGGTGGTGGTTTCGTGGTTCTGGGTTCTAGATCTGGTTTCGTTTGTGGTTTAGGTTGGTAGTGGTTCGTTGGTGGTAGTTTTTTTGTTAGTGGTGGGTAAGGGGTTACTAGATCCAGTCAGGGGTTAATTGGGGTTACTAGGTCGGTTAGGGGTTACTTAGGGTTACTAGGTCAGGGGTTACTTGGGGTTACTAGCAAGGGCGAAGGGACCGGGGGGGGGGGGGCTGGTAGAGGCCCGGCCTCCCCGGCCCAGATTTGCGGCCCTTTATTATCAACTCTTGCCCCCCCTTAAAATATTATATGTAGCGTTGAAGACACATAAATTACAACAAATAAAGTTTGTCACATTGGTTAGGTATTATATATATATATATATATATATATATATATATATATATATATATATATATATATATATATATATATATATATATATATATTAATTTTATTAGAATTTATATCCTTCATTTATGCGCGTAAATATATAAATTATTTGTTATCTTAATTTTATTAGAATTTATATCCTTCATTTATGCACGTATATATATAAATTATTTGTTATCTTAATTTTATTAGAATTTATATCCTTCATTTATGCGCGTATATATATATTATTGTTATCTTAATTTTATTAGAATTTATATCCTTCATTTATGCGCGTATATATATATTATTGTTATCTTAATTTTATTAGAATTTATATCCTTCATTTATGCGCGTATATATATATTATTGTTATCTTAATTTTATTAGAATTTATATCTTTCATTTATGCGCGTATATATATACTAGTTTTGTACCCCGGCGATGCCCGGGTTGTTTATTGAATTTTAAGATAAATTTATAGTTCGAGTTAACTCATGACCAGACCTAACATGTCTATATAGTAATAAAATTCTATTAGATTGTGAAGTATATATGTTATTTTAACCGATTAGTTATATTATAAATGAATGATTTGCGCTTTGAACTACTTAATTCGTTCCAAAAAATATTATGATACAAAAAAATAAATTTATATGATAATTTTTTAGAATTATAATCTAATAATTTTTTTGAATAAAATTATAATTTAATTTGTACATTTGAAATATTGGTATTTTTATCGAAAATAAAACTCTAAACCAACAATTTTATCCTAAAATTCTATCTTATGAAATCTATTTAAATCTATCCAACGTGGGATGACACTTGGCGAAAAATTGGAACGCCAAGTGTAGCTGCATTGTGACTTGGCTTAAAGTTTAGCTTTATATATTAGTTATTATATGATTATTGTTATCTTAATTTTCTTATTATACTAATTAATTTGCTATTAAAAATATACAATTACCAAAAGAGGAAGGAAGTTTATAATCCACAATAAAAAAAGCTATAAGGTTGACCGACTACAGTTTATTATTTGTCTTTTGCTTTACAAAAGTAGAATTGTACGATTGTTTACCTTAATTACCTATTTTAATAAAAGAAAGAATAATCTTATTAAGGTAATGATTGTTATTTTTAATTACCTATTTTAATAAAAGAAAGAATAATCTTATTAAGGTAATGATTGTTATTTTTAATTACCTATTTTAATAAAAGAAAGAATAATCTTATTACGGTAGTGATTGTTTTTTATATTTTTTCTTATCTCTATGTACTTTGTTCAGAGATAAGGTTGTTATCTCTATATACCTTGTCTCTATATATACTTTGTTCAGTGTAATTCAAATATATAATCATTGAAAATTATTTTCTTTATATTCTACCCATAATTAAAACCCTAGAGTACTTGTGTTATTTTCTTCTCGAGTTTTAACGTGGTATATGTATTAGATAGGTGATATGATGATTTTCAGATGGGCAATGTTGTTGGTACTTTTAATGATTGATCAAGGTACGTGCAACAGTTCTGGCATGAGTAGCACATCAACAAAGTTGCATAATTTTGTCATTCACAGTTCATACCGGAGATTTTTGCTCTCTAATGGCCTTGCTCTCACTCCTCCCATGGGGTAAGCTCTCACTTTCTTTTTGTCCCTTCCCTATACTTATTACCCTGCTCTACTACTTGTAATAGTAGACTAGTAGTACTCCGTATTTCGTAGTTGCAAAGCTCATCAGGCCAGGGGGCCAATAATTAGATCATATTAATAGTGATTTCTTCGGAGTCTCCAAATTAAAGGTGTAATTTCTAATATCATGATTCATGAGTCAAATTAATATGTCTAGGCTTACAACCATTTTCTTATTGTTTGTTGTTCAGATGGAATAGTTGGAATCGCTTTGGCTGCAATGTCACAGAAAAGATTGTCAAAGAAACTGGTAAGATTTGCAATTTGGAATAGGATAATAAAAGATTCTTTTGTATTTCTAAAAAAAAAAAAAATTCATGTATGGTTTTTTTGTTCTCTTTGCTAAGATTCACGCACTACACTTTCTCAAAAATAAATAAATAAATAAATCACATACTACCTTTATAGGTTTTTATTTTTTTTTTATTTTTTTTATATGAATATATTATTTTGTATATATGATCTTTAATAGTTTCAAAGTTCATCCATGGTGAAATCAATACAAAACTTATAATAGTAATAATATAATAATAAATACGAAGTAAATAGGGTTTTTCTAAGCTATGCGTAGTCAAGTTTCTAAGGTCGGTGTACCCATGCCTTTTTAAATTTCTAGGTTGTGCCCTCAACTCACTACCATTAATGAATGGTATGGGAGTCTTGTTTAGAAAAATGACAGTAGTACATACTTTTTCTATGCACTAGTATAACTTGAGATTTCTTTTGTGACTAAATAGATCCAGACATGCTTGAGGTGGGGAATGGAGGGATGTCCAAACACGAATACATAGTCCACTTTAGCATTTGGGCCATTTCCAAGGTGAAGTTCAGTTCTCATCCCATCTTATTTAATTTAGAAAAATGTTGTCATAAAGTCTTATACGAAAAGAGACACTGCAGGCACCACTACTTATTGGGTGTGATGTAAGAAATATGACAAAGGAAACAATGGAAATCATTGGTAATAAAGAAGTCATAGCAGTAAACCAAGGTAAACATGATGTTCATGACTTGCATTAGTTGAATGACACCTCACACTATTTGGTAACATCATAATTTTATGTACAGATCCTCTTGGTATTCAAGCAAAAAAGGTCAGGATGGAAGGTGATTTGGAGGTAAGAAATCTTGTTACACCTTGAGATGTTTTCTTAATTATATAGATGATGGTAAGAAATTTTTATCTCCATGTGACAGGTATGGTCAGGGCCTCTGACCAATTACAGGGTCGCGCTACTTTTAGTGAATAGAGGTTGGTTTCGTACTTCTATAACAGCTCACTGGGATGATATTGGCATTCCCGTCGGCAGCATTGTAGAAGCTAGGGATATTTGGGAGGTATAACATATTTAACCCTATGTATTTTGTATTCTGCAATTTTTATTTATTATAATTAATTCTTTTTTTAATTGGTGATGCAGCATAAAACTCTTAAGCAGAAGTTTGTGCAGAACCTGACAGCAACCATCGACTCTCATGCAAGCAGGATGTATGTATTGAAACCAGTTGCCTGAGTTCCTAACAGGGCCGTAGCAAGGGGAGGGCAGCTGGGGCTACCCTGGGCCCCTTGTTAAAAAGCTCATCTTCAATACAGAATACAATACAACGCCCCAGAAAAATATACTTCGTACTAAATAATACTATGATTTTTTTTTTTTTAAAAAAAACAAGAAGTGTGTAATATACAACACTACAATAGTACCTTAGAATTTCAAAATATCAAATGACATTTTTGGGTTATTTCTTCCCTAATTTTTTTGCCCAAATTATTCACTTCCTAAGTGAATTTGATTAACAAAAAATAAATATATCATTAATTTTAATTGTATCCTCGTTATTGGTAATTTTATTTTTCAAAATGTATCTCATTACAATTTTCAATTAGTTAAATTCCTTTCTCAATTCAATTGAAGATGAAAACTAAAATATACGATCCTTTTTCAACGGGAATTTATCTAATTATATATAATTCTCTTTGCATACCCTACTTTGTTTTTTTGAACGGTGCATACATGACTTTATTCATCAAGTTCTCTTATTTGTATTAAAATTATATTTTTTTACTGTATAAATACTTTTATTCAAATATACAAAATTTTGGGGGAAAAAAATCTAATTGATTGGTTGGATACTTGGTTTGCGGGAATGTAATTTCAATGTTTTATGAAATTTGATTTTTTAAAGATTATTAATCATAATAAAATATGTATTTTCGTTTTGCATACCCAATTTTTTAAAATTTTATACAGTATACTCTAAGATAGTTATTAATAAAGGATATTTAAGAATCTATTTTTTCCTTCTGAAAATAGTTTACTTAACTAGCTTATCATTTTAATTTTACTTATCTTTTGTAAGTTAGTTACATAGATATAAGTCATCAATTTGAATGCTGTCTTTTTTGTGGATCTCAAATTCCATTCACCAGTCACCACTTATAGAAGGATGTATTATTTGTATACTACCTTCGTTTTATGTGCAATTTTGAGGTATTATTTGTGAGATAAAATATTTAAAAATTACACATAACATTTAACGGAGGTAGTATTTTATCATCTTAGGAAAACACCATGCACATACGTAATTATTCAGCGTGCAAAAGGCAAGTGAAGCATCTCTTACGGATATTTTGTTTTTATTATCGCCCAGAACATTAATAAAATCCAAGGAAATAAATAGAAATTTCATTTTATACTAAAAATAATGCTGCTGCCAGGTTTCACATACTGCTGCTGCCTCATTATAGTTACCTTCCTGATACCATAACATTATAATCAAAAACACTCAATAGCGTGGGCAACTTGTTGAGTCCTGAATTCGGCCTTAACTTTTGAAAAAGAAGCCTACTTTTTTTATGGGTAGAAAAGAAATGGCCAAGAAAGATAACCCCTCATTGTACTGCACGTTCTCCTCAATGACCTCCCCCGCCTAATTCATGACAAAAACACTTGTAAATCAGTGTTATTAGTGTTTATATTTTGATCATTTTTTAACTTTTTATGATTTTCAAGTGTAAATTTAATGCTTATAGGTAGCCCTAAGGGCTATGTGTAACATTTTCCTTTTATAATTGGTTTGTCATTTTTACTATTTGGCTATTTGCATGTCTGGAGGATTAGTGGAGAGAAGAAACAAGAAAGTGAGCATCTTAAAAGAGTCAAAAGCATCCCCTTGCTTAGTATCACAAACTATAGGCCTATAGCACAACGCTTACCTGGCGTTTGGACAAAACTGTTGAAGGTAAAGGCTGTTGCTTTACATCCCCAAACCATTCAGGTTGCCCATCACCATGCCGTCTCAGCCAGTTACGAAACGCCAAAACAAACCGATCTGACTGTGTTGGTGTGAAAGTAATTTTTGTGTATTGTGCATTAATATCTTCAGAGTCATCTGTTGTTTTAGAATGAAAATATTTTTCTTGACCCTGAAGCACAATCATATCTCCATCATACACTTTGTTTGACGTCCAATGTTCATGCCATCTTGGAACCACCTGAAACCATCAGAAGCAATAACAAATAAGAACAAATGTATTATAAAGCACAAATGATGTTCCTTGAGCTCCAGTCCTTCACGAGGATAGTGCTAAATATTCCTGCAGACAGTTTATCACTCATATAGTCATATGGAAAGCTTGTATATAAGAGAAAAGGAAACAGATAATGATTAATTTGTACAGAAGGGAAAGGTGAAAAGATATGCTAATTATTAGCATATATTATGTCTTCACCCTTCCTTCTCTATCCTGAATCATTTATAGCATGTGTCTAAATATCGCAGCAAGAGAGGGAAAGAAGTTCAGACAATTAAAGACATCATCTCGGGAGAATAAGAAAAGAAACACAAAATTTGCATATCTTCAAATATATGACAGAGGATGGCATCATCTTTTCAACAGTACGAATTTCAAGCTCTCACCTGCCACCAAGAAGGACCCGGCACTGTCTACTGGAAAAAGTTACGAGCACTGCAAACAATTGAACGTGTCTTGCCAGGTGCCATAGGTATGTTGAAGGAACATATCCATATTGTCCACTTCTGGTCACCTACAATAGGAAGCTTTGCATCTGTCTCTATCCTGAGCCAAGAAAAAGAAAATCATCACCTTTGTGGAAACAACTAGTTCAATAAATCATCTTATATCAATCAAAGCCTTAATCCCATAAGTGGGGTAGGCTACATGAACCAAATTTGATTATTCCGTATAGTCATTGACATAAATCTTCCTCCTCCATCATCTTATAGTCCAACAAAAAATATCATTCTTTAGGAAGAGGGAATTGAATAAAGCCCTTTTTGAAGCATGCTACAAGACTGTAAAACATCCCATAAATTTGTAATGAAAACAGAACCAACATAACAGAAACTATCCACTTAAACATTAGAAATGGGTTTTCTGCCAGGCTATTATGCATAATTAGCTTAAAACATAACAGACAATCTCGGACTTACTTATTCATATAGTAACAAGGTGAAATAAATTCAGCACTTATTTTTGGGTTGTCATCGTTGGCTCCAGCAAAGCCCCAAGGACCACTGGATTCAACCTTGAATGGCAAAGGCTTGGCCCTGTCCCTCCTTCCTGTAACCTGGATTTGTGAAAAAAAGCATATAGGGATGGAGTCAGCTACAGCAAAGAGTATTCAGCTCTTAAGGACCATCTTTATAATGAGGTTCCTTATACACAGAAATTCAATGCCTACGTTGCCTATGAATATAACACGTCCTACAGAGTCTCCAATAATTAAAGCAAAAGATAAATCAACTTCCAGCACGCCATGCTATTATATGAGGATCGAGTGAATAAGTTATGGAAGGTATGCAGTAAGTAAAAGCACTTTTAGAGTTATATTGCATTCAACTGATAAAAGCTGCCATAGAGTTTCATTTCAAAGAAGGGATTCACTGGGTTATGACAGGTATTCCATTACTTGCATAAGATGAGTGTTTACACTAGAGTAGTCACCCAATTAGCATGTCAGCATTCAAATGGCCAGTTACTATTTTAACAACAACAAAAAAAAATCAATTATGCCTTTTAATAGGCTTTAAAGCTTTGAGAAATGACTTGATATTGGTAATTTAACACATAGCAGGGCTAAAGCATACTTATTGTCACTTAGTGAAATTTAGAAGCTCAAGTCTTATTGAGATAACTTTTAAACTAACGAATTTTAAATATTTCAAGATATACTTTTGTGGTTTTATCTTTGGAATCTCATTTTAGTTTGATATCAATTCAACCTAAAGAGAAGAAGCTTAGTGGCAAATTGCTTTGATCAAATGGCAACCAAAACTTCTAAACTGGGTACACCCTTAGTCAGGAACCTTAGTCTAAAATACATGAAAGCCAAATTATATAGTATCACCTAAGACCTAACTACCAAGTACTAATTAATTATATATTCAATATAAAATACATGAAAGCCAAAGCATAATCATTATATTATCACCAACTAATTCACATTTCTAAGAGTTTAGGATAAGTTACCTAGGAGGTTGAGTTACACTAGCTCTTTCCCACCCATTCTCATCAGGCCAAACAAAGAGCAAGTCTTGAGACACCATAGTTCGAAACCTTGTGGCACAGGCTCTAGGCGATTTCACGGCCCGAGCTTTCGGTCCCTCTGATCGGGCTTAGGGGATCCGAGTACACGACCCACACCCATTAAAAGACCAACCATGATAAGAGCATTGTAAATCCCCATTTTCATCTATCCTCTCTTCCTAACAAATCATCCAAATCATCACAACATAATATACAATTATCAAATTAATTCCACCAAAATCAACCAAATTCCACCAAATGAAAGTGACGGTACCAATGAAAAGAACTTGGCATAATTTGGAGTTTTAGACTAACCATTTTTGTTTCTTTCACTTTGGCATGTTAAGCGTGGCGTACCACTAGCAACTAGCCCGACCTGCCTCTTAGAAAAAGAAAGCAATAATACATGATTTCCACTCCAAATTGTTGGTCCCCTTAATGATACACTAATCATTTCCCAATTCTCCTTCATCCCTATCCTATACTCACCACAACAGGCACCGTACCGAACTATAGTTCATCAAATTACCATTAGCCTGCTGCATTTATTTTATCAAACAGATGGGACAACTCTAAATAATGCGCAAGTATACAGTGGAACTCAACGACTTTAGCACCTGGGAACTTGAAAAGGGATTTAGAGAAGAAGACATTATGGCAGGAGGTCTCCATTAATTTTTTTTAATTAATGTATCATCTTCAACTACACAACTCCATGCTTTATTTTGTTCACTCTGTTTGTGAGTTTATCCTAATTTTTTTGGGTTTTTCCCAATTTTCTGGGATATTGATTCTCATCTGGATAATAATTTTATTTTTAGGGTTTTATAATAATAATAATAATTGAGAAGGTGATTTGGATTTATATGACTTTAAAGTTCGTCATCAACTCTATGATCAAAACATCATCGCAAGTTGCGAATGTCTCTAGCTACTTGAAAGATGCAAAACATTGAAAATCACTGCTTGCTAGGGTTGTGCAAAACTATCCGAAAAATCGAAAACCCGAAAAACCGAACCGTAACCGAACCGAAAAATTGGGTACCCGAACCGTTTAAAGAAAATGGGTCGGGTAACCGAACTGATAAGAATTTAACGGTTCGGGTAACGGGTACCCGTTAACACTGTTTCGGGTACCCGAATGTCCCGAAAATATTTTTTTTGAAATCTCAAATGAAAAATGTCAGTTTTTTTTAGAAAAAAAGAAACAGAAAATAAAGAACAAAAAAGTGAAAACCCTAAACTTCGTTCTTTTCTCATTTCTCAGTCATTCACTTCACTCAGCCTCCATCCCCCTCACTCTCCTCCTCTTCTCTAATGTCTCTGCCTCTGGTTCTCTAATCTCCATTCTCCATTCACTCCTTCATCTCCTCCATTGAAGCAGCTTTGAGCTTTCACTCCTTCATCTCCTCCATTGAAGCGGCTCTGAGCTTTCACTCCATCATCTCCTAATGTCCTCAGGTAATTAACTAATTATCCCTTTGCCAGATCTAATTATTTGCAATGAATTGATTAAATTCAATTAAACTTAAACTCTTGTTTTAATTTCACAGATCGCAGATTCAATTTAGGGCTCTGCGTACTTCGACTTCTCCATTGAAGCGGCTTCTGAGCTATACGCCTATACTCCTTCATCTCCTCCATTGAAGCGTACTTCGACTTCTCCATTGAAGCGGCTCTGAGCTTTCACTCCTTCATCTCCTACATTGAAGCGGCTCTGAGCTTTCACTCCTTCATCTCCTCCATTGAAGCGTACTTCGGCTCTCCATTGAAGCGGCTTTTGAGCTTTCACTGTTGAGGTAATTTACATTTTATAGTATCTGACTATCTGTGGTTTTTTCAGATTTGTAATTGTTTTTTTTCCTGATTTTTTATTGTGGTACTATTAATTTTTTTTTTTGTTTTTTTTGGGAGGAATGGTACTTATTATGGTTTTCAGAATTGAGGTTTTTTTTTTATTATTTTTTGTCAAGTTGTGTCTGTTAGATTTAGATGAGTGAGTAAGGTGAGATTTCTGTTTTTGATGTGGAAATAAGGTTGTTGAGAAAAAACAAGGATTCAGAGTGATGTTGTTGTGTGATGTTGCTAAGCATCTATAGTTGCTGTGTACTAATGTTGTTGAGCATCTATAGTGTCGTGTGATGGCTTCCTGTGTGTTGAGCATCTATAGAGTTGTACATGATAATCATGTAGTCCAATATGATTTATTGTAACATGAGTTAATTACAAGCATTTTAAGAAAACGTTTTAAGATTTATTGTAGTCCAATATGATAATCATGTAGTCCAATATGATTTATCTAGTTGCTTCTACTCAGGTTAATCTGTCAATGTATGGTTTAACAGAATTGAGTAATATTCGTCAGCTGGAATTTGGTTTAACAGTAACTTGTGTGGTTGTGTACATCATCTTTTGGACTCATTTTTAGTAATACTTGCCTAAGGTACTGCAAGGCTCACAGAGTGATTATATGGTGTAGTTGTACCAATAGTTTTTTTTATTTCACTTGCTTGTCTGAGATTTTATGATTGTGTATTTGTGTGACGTGGAAAAGTTTTTGTCCTGCTTGTTTCTAATAGACATATGTCCTAGATGTTCACCCTTTCAACCTTCATATAGCTATGACTCATTCTTGTTATTTGTGTATACATGATTGAACTTATTTGTTTTTTTTTTCATTTGTAGGAGTGTATGGAATCTGGAAGTAGTGGGGATATGGAAGACTCATCGGCTACAAGTCAAGCTCCTCCAATTCCAAGTCCTCCTCCCGAGCCTTGGGAGTATGACCCTTGTCCAATGACGGAAAATAATGACCCCTTTGACCAGCAAAATCAATCAAACCAACCTCTGAACCTGCTGATGATGCTGCCCCCTTAAGTGAAACTTCAAAAAAATCTAGAAAAAGGCGCTCTCCTCATTGGGAGCATTTTATAAAGAATGATGGAGAAAACAAGGATGAATGTATCTATTGTCATACATTCATTGGTTGTGCATCACTTCAAGGTACCTCCGGCATGAAGAACCACATAAAGCGGTGTAAGGAATACCCCCCAAACATTGATCAAAATCAGCAACTATTGTCCCTTAGTCAACAAACTCTTGATGGGAATCTCGTGGATCAAAAAAAAGGTAGACTTGAGCTGTGGAAATTCAATCAAGAAGATAGTAGGAGAGCTCTGGCAAAGATGGTGATCATGGATGAAATGTCTTTTAGAATGGTAGAGCATGAAGGTTTTCGCAACTTTATGAAGGTGACGCAACCTTTTTCATTATTCCTTCTCGATGGACAGTGACTAGAGATTGTTTTAGGATTTATTTGGATGAGAAAAAAAGTTTGAAAAGTTTTTTTAGTAAGTGCACTTCACGTATAAGTCTCACCACTGATACTTGGACTTCTTGCCAAAATATGAATTACATGTGTTTAACCGCTCACTTTATTGACCAAAATTGGAAATTGCATAAAAAAATAATTAACTTTTGTATAATTGCTGGTCATTCTGGTGAAACAATTGGTAAATCTTTCCAAAAGTGTCTACTTGAATGGGGTATTTCTAGAGTAATGACTGTCACTGTAGATAATGCAAGTTCAAATGATGTTGGCATTCAATATTTGAAAAGAAGGTTTGAAAGTTGGAAGACATTAGTTTTGGGTGGTCGGTTTTTACACATGAGATGTTGTGCTCACATATTAAGTTTAACCATTAAAGAAGGATTGAAAGAAAGTGATGTGTCAATAAAAAGAATTCGTTGTGCTGTTAGGTATGTAAGATCATCGGGTGCTAGATTGCAAAAGTTCATGAGTTGTGTTAAACAAGAAAAGTTGGAGTCAAAACGTTTTCTTTGTTTAGATGTGGATACTAGGTGGAATTCACTTTTTTAATGCTGGAAGGTGCTTTGGCATATCGTAGGGCTTTTGATTTGCTTGAATGTTCATATGGTGGTAAATTTAGGTATGAGTACTTAAGACAGGCGGGGTGCCTGAACCTAGTGATTGGGATCGTGTTGCCTCTTTTCTTCCTTTACTTAAAATATTCTATGATGCTACTCTACGAGTTTCCGGCTCGTTGTATATCACCTCTAATGTGTATTTACAAGAAATTGTTGGGATTAGTGTGTTAATCAAGAAAAAAATGTTGAGTAATGATGCGGGGGTGAGTTTAATGGCTAGTGGAATGAAGAAAAAGCATGACAAGTATTGGGAAAATGTTGATAATGTGAATCTCTTGTTGTATATTGCTGTCATTCTTGATCCTAGGCGGAAAATGGGATATACTAAATGGGCAATTAATCAACAATATGATTCTGAAAAAGCTAAGTACTTGTGTGATAAAGTGATGCAAACTCTGAATGACATGTATGAACTTTATATTTCTGAAAACCCTCCAAATGAGTCTATTCTCCCTAAAACTTCTGATTTTTCGGAGGAAGTAGAAGATATGGATTCTGATGTAGATGTTGCGGAATTAGAGTTTGAAAGGCAGATGGGTTCATGTGTTGGAGTACAAGGGAAAAATGAGTTGGCCAAGTATTTAGAAGATGATAGAGAAGTTAATCCCGCCGGAAAAAGCTTTGATTGTTTGGGGTGGTGGAAAAAATATGGTGAAAGGTATCCAACAATAGCTCTCATGGCTAGAGATGTACTTGCCATTCCCGTATCAACAGTCGCTTCCGAATCAGCTTTTAGCACCGGTGGTCGAGTGCTTGATTCATTTCGCAGCTCACTCTCAACTAAGATGGTTGAAGCCTTGATTTGTGCACAAGATTGGTTATGTATATCTCAAGGTCCTCTTATACTTGAGGAGAGAGTTGAAGATATGGAAAAAATTGAATCAGGTAACATTTAAATATTTTCTCTTTTTTTTTTAATCTCATTATCTTGTTAATTATTCATTAACTTTTTTTTATTTTTTATTTTTTAAGAAATGTTACCTCTTGGTGAGGAACACTCTCTCTTTGTTGATGATGATTAATTGATTAGAGGCAGCAACTTATAATCATGAAGGTTGGTGGTGATTGTATTGAAGGCCGGAAGTCATTGAAGGCTTGGAGTATTTTATGAAATATGATTACTATGGACTGTTTTTGTTTTAAAACTATAAACTATGGACTTTTTTTTTGTTATGTATTGGTTTATTATTGTTAACTATGGACTTTTTTTTTAAAAAAAGAAACAGTATGTTTGTATCAAGTATTTGTTCATTTGTAATCGGGTTGAGTGCTGTGTTATATGTGTATTCAGGTTTAAATATCAGCCTATTAGGCTGTTATTTGTTAAAAAAAAATCATAGTACTAATAACAATAATTAATACTAGAAAAACAGGTGGAAGTTTGGACAAAAATATTATTAAGCAGGTGGGTACAAGGAAGAGTTCAGGCAGCCAAGTAGGAGAGGTGAGGAGGCAGCAGCCTCAAGGACAGGGACAGGTAGGTTGCCAAAGCGGAAGACAGCGATAGTTGTAATTATTTTTGTTATTTGTGTATTTAAGTTCAATTGTTATAGTTAAAAAAATAGGAAGTAAAAAAAAAAACTAGTAAAAACTAAAAAGCATCTAAAAACGAATTGCAAAGCAGGTTTTAAATAAATAAAAAGACCCCAAAAAAAAAATCAGCTTATTGGTTCGGTTCAGATATTTGGTTCGGGTACCCGTATTTTCGGGTATCCGAATTTACGGGTACCCGAACCTTATCGGAACGGTTTCGGGAATCGGTTTTAGCCTTAACGGTTATCGGGTACCCGAACCAATAACGTTATCGGAACGGGTACCCGTCCCATGCACTCCCCTACTGCTCGCGTCATGTTTGAAGCGGTAGAGTGTGAGGTATGCCCGATATGCAATTTAGTTATGATTTTGATATTGAATTTTACTTATTAGGCGGCCATTAGTATAGGTTTTATAGGAACACATACTTACTTTTTAGTTTTCATTGTATGACTGAGTGGTATAATCGGATGATGTTATTGTTTTAGTCCTGGTCAAAGGATCAATTGTATATTTGTTTTTTTTTTTTTTTGTTTTGTTTTGTTTTTTTAATTTTACGTCAGTGTAGATATCATGGATTTTAGGAATAATTAATCTGCACGTTGTATAGACTTTGTTTGCCTTTTTGAATTAAAGTTAAAAATATTGATAAATAGTGTAGATACCCAATTTTTTTAAGAAAGTACACATAAAAAAGTTATATTATTTATTATTTATACAAATATTTTAATTTTAGTTTTATAAGTATGAATTATTTAATGTAAAAGTAATAAGATTTTACTACTAGTAAGCTAAACCATTAAGTTTTAGTCTAAATTATAATTCCCTTTTTAAGTATATTGGCCCAAAGTTGATTCCTATTCAAGCTCAAACTACCCAAATTCTACCCCTAATGAAATTAGGGAACAAAAACCAAATAAAAAAACCCTAACCTTTCTCCTCTTTCACGTGAAAACAAGAAGAAAAAAAAACCCCCCACTTCTCTTCCTCATCTTCACGACATTCACGAACAAAAAATAAAAAAAAAATCCAAGATTTGAAGCTGTTGCCCCGAAGCCGCCCCCTCACCTACCGTCTGCCGATAGCCGCCGCCGACCACCAGCACTGCCTGCCGCTCGCCTCTTCTCTCTCTCTCCTTTTCTTTACTTATCTTGTTTTATTACTTTGATTTAAAGCTTCAATCTTTGATATGTTTAATTTATTATAGAAAATTTCAGATTTATTTAATTAAGAAAATAAGGGTTTAAATTGATTTTTCTTGTTTTAGGGCTTGAAAACATGCTAATCAAGTTATCTAATTATACTATGTTAATTAAGTTAAAGTATAATTATTATTTTGACTATGTATAAATTTACTGATTATTAAAGTTTCGATTTTTTTTATGAGCAAGTTATGTTAATTTCATGTTTTCATGCTTTTAACCTTATAAAATAATGTTTGTGGGTATTTCTTGTTTAAAAAGCCTTAAACTTTAAATTCTAACCTTAAGAATTAATTTTCAGATTTCATACTTTTTATTTTTGAAGCCTCTAATTGCATTGAATTGGTATATTTTTGGGTTTTTAACACACTAACTTGCTATATATATAATATTAATTTCAAGTAATTATGCTTATGTGGTTATTTTATATGTTTAAACCAAATTTTCAGATCTATTCACTTACTTTAAAGTTGCCGTAATTTGGTATTAAACGCTATATTTTCATGGTTTTAGCATATAAACTTTTAGTTGGAGTACTATATTATTAAGGGCTTGTTCTCTTATGTTGAAATTCAGTTCAGTTCAGTTCAGTTCAGCTAAGTTCAGTTCAGCTCAGTTCAGTTCAGTTCAGTTCAGATCAGCTCCTAATTTCCTTCTCTTATAAAATATTCATTTCAGTTCAGCTCAATTTAGTTCAGTTCAGTTCAACTGAGTTCAGTCAATGAGAACAGGCCCTAACTTTGAGTATTGGGAATAATTTAAAGACTTTATTTTGATGGTTTGGGAGGTTTTTAAGTAGTTTGGTATTGCTGTAAATTTATTTAATTTGCTTGGGTATTGATTTAGTTCTTGTTGTTTGGTTTAGGAGAGGACTTCGTAGAAGCCGACTTCTAGTTCCTAAAGTGGCCAACCAATTCGTTTATTCAAGGTACGTATGAGTTACGAAACCTTGCCTTTAGAAGCATATTTAGGAACAAAACAAGAACTTAGTAGTATCATGTATAGAGAAGATTGGGAATAATTGTTTGGTTATACATTGTGATTTCTGTATGACGTTCTCTGTTTTACCTTGCAAATATATTTATGCATTAAATTTGTAAGATGTGCTTAGAGGCAAAGGTATGTGTGTGAATATGTGGAATGAATTATTTATTACTCATTCATGATTATTGAAATACAATGAGTAAAGGAAGAATTCAAGTCTTATAAGACGAGGTTAAGGTTTTGGGGTGCCTTATGCACTCAAGGTGTTTATACACCGAGGTAGTTAAAGGAATAAATAATAAATGTTGCTTGTCACTAATAAATCAAGAATTGAAATTGGAAAGTTATTTTACTTGATGGAATTGATATTGGATTGATTGTATTGTTTGCATATGAGCATCACCAAGTCTAAATTGTAAATCACATAAAGTGCAAGATGGATAAGCAATAAA